ATTTTTTATTATTTATTTACTAAATGTCAAAATGATAAAATGTCACTCCTATAATGCTAATAGATAGCGCAACGGGTCTGGTGTCCAGAGGTGCTTTACAGTGACCCATTTGAGTTACTCCTGAGCAGCTCAGGAGTGCTCCACAATTGCTTTGCGCGTTCCACTGCTTAGAGTGTCGTACACTTGAGCTACTCATTTCTGTTATCCCCTGCCCCCTCGTGCACCAACCCTTTTGTCTGTGTTTCATGCTCCTGAAATCCGAAATGGTGGGGGTTAAGACGACAGCGTTCCAGTGCTGCTTATGTCGAACAGTTCAAGAGCGTCACACTTCAGGAGCATGATACTCTAACAATTTAGGCACTGGAAAGCGGCTCAGAAGTCCAGAGCACTTTCTTTCTAAATAGTAATAATAACAGACAGGGGGCGGATTCTATAAGCTCAAAGCGAAACAATGACGTTCGTTATGGGACGCTTTGTTTGGTTTGCTATTCTATAACCCCTTTCGGGAAGAATCGGGTACTCCGATCACGAAGCCAATTGCAAAACGAAAGCGATGAATTTTGGCTCGCGTTTTGTTTCGCTTTCCGATTGTTTTGAACCGTTCTAGAACCGTCCTTTTTTCAAACGCAAAAAGGCTTATTCAATCATAATTATTTGAAAAATGGTAAAGTTTTCTGCGAAATAAAGTAATATCAAACGAAACTTGTGTTGACACTGATTTGTTATATTGGCGCCCAACGTGGGGCTTAAGATACAGACACAAGCAAAATAAAACAGGAAATTTGAGAATAAATCTAACCTCAACGTTTAAACAAAAATTAACGAGGGTAAATGACACTTTTCGCCATTAATATCTAAATATAAGTATTAACTATCTACCAAAAGTAGCTTGTTTTAGTAGTTAGCTACTTTTCACAGTAGCTTATGAATACTTGAAACAAATTACCAAAAGCTACAGCTACAAGCTACTTTTTTTTCAAAGTAGCTTGAATAAGTTATTAGCTACCAAAAAAGTAGCTAAGCTAGTAGCTTAACTACTTAGTAGCTAGCTACTGCCCAGCTCTGCTTGAAACCCAATTTGTTTTTTGAATACTATCGATATTTTCTAGAAAAATATCGATAACTATCGATGGTTTGAATATCGATAGTTCTCGACCTCTAAGAGCACCCCCTAGGCCCTAAGTTATAGCCGTGCAGTTCGTGCAAATAGCCACAAAACGTTTGAATTGAATTCGATTAGAGTATCCAAGATGTGCTGTCAAATTTAAATTAAAATGTCCGTCAAGACGCACACAAACCCTTTGTTTATGTGTTATCAAAATAATGGTGTTATGAGTTGTTACCAATGAACTATAACCAAAAACTGGAATGCTAACACATAAGGACTTGAAGCCTAGTGCGGCTGCTGCGGAGGGGATACCTGTTTTTGTCGCACTCATTATGTTAAATGGCGAAAATTGCTTCCAACACGTATTCCAATTGACGAAACCTGTGAAGGGAAATATGACGAAACCTGTGAAGGGAAATATGACAAAACTTTCGAAAACGTCATATGTCAGCGAGCAACAGAAAAAAACAACATTCCCCCTTGTGGCATCTGTCTTTCATGGCTTCATTTTTTTGGCAGATATGGCAATGTGTGCGCATTCCAGTTCTTAGCTATAGTTCATTGGTTGTTACACACAGGCCTTATGAGCATAGGCCATCCTGTAGTGATAGTGTGTATCACCCTTTGCTAATTGGTAACTGAAAGTTATATAGGATTTTTACGCTATATTTAGGATTAGGATGACGTCACATTTGATAAATTTCTGCTGCCAACCTTACAAAACTAAGAATACTTTTTGATGCATTTAAGTAGCGGAATAGCGGAATATCAGAAGTTTTTGATTGGCAACGGAGCGCGACGTTGCATGACTTGTATAAACATTTTCACTTCGTTATCTGTCGTAAGAATTATTTACACGACATTCTGGTAAATTATAAGAAAACAAATAGGCATTTACAACATTGTGTGAATTTGTTCGATGACGTCATCATAAATATAACACAAAAAAAACCTATACTGGCAATTTACGAATAACCACCTTTTATTTACTATTTGACTTTGAAGGCTGCGTTTCTTATTTATTAATTATTTATAATTTTTTCCTAAATAATATTTGGATTAAAATATAATTACCTACTCGCGCTCATACATAAAATCTTGTACCTACCACAGGCGCAAATGGTTTTTGAGGCACTGGCGTATTTACGATTTTCATCCGGGGGTGCCCAACGTAATAATAAAAACAAATAAAATTATCTTTCTTGCGGGGGTAGTGAAATGAAAAATCGAAACGAAAAATTCCGAGGGAAGTGACGACATCAATGTGACGGATCGAATATATTGATCCTCCTTTCTCTCTCTCTCTCACTCCTATCCCCTTTCTTTCATCAGACATTTCTGTCTCTGTTTTATCTTGGGATGCGTTCGAAATCACCCTGGCACACCAGGGTTACGTTCAAGAACCTGGTTATTGGTGTGAAAATTATTTCAAGTGAGGATCCGACACACTGACTGGTGACGGTGTGCAAATCCTCTAGGTTTTCGTACAGTGGCTAAATAAACCTTTACATACAGTGGCGACAATAGAGTTCCCGCCGCCATCTTGTTCCCAACCTCTTGTTACTTTCAAATATTAATATATAAGATTTAAATAGACATCTATCATAAAAAATTAAAATCGGCATATTTGATGACCATTATCAGGTTCATCAAATACGTTGTTTTCCATGTTTTATGATGGATGTTCACCTAAATCCTATATATTCATATTTAAAAGTAACAAGAGGTTGGGAACAAGATGGCGGCATTTTCAATATAAACATATGGGATTTTTGAACCAATCAAAAATGAGATCGCAATTGTCGCCACTGTGGTAATAAAGTCACTGTAGGTTTTCGAACGGTGACTAAGGGCGGGTATTATAAAACTGCTTTCACAGTTAACTTGAAGTTAACTTTTTGAATTACATGTAATTCCAGAAGTTAACTTCAAGTTAACTCTCAAAGTAGTTTTATAATACCCGCCCTAAGTGGTTGGTGGTTTGTTTATAATGTGCTTATTCAGTAACTAAACAATGAATAGTATATTTTTCAACGAGCATATAATGCTGGCTATTATTCACGAGAATGAAAATTCAAACACGAGCCGAAGGCGAGTGTTAGAATCATTCGAGTAAATAATAGCCATTATTTGCGAGTAGAAGACTATACTTTCTCTTCGAACTTTTTGAAAGAAAATCATTAGTTTTTGTAAGAAATAACAATCATTAAAAGTCTAAACCCGCCTTAATTTTTTTAAATTGAAAGTTTCGTGATCTGACAGTAAACGTCAGTCATGTTTTGTTATTGTCTTGTTGCAGCCCGTGTATTCCGAAAATACGGAGAATTTGCTTGGTCGACAGGCCGTGGATTCCGGTTTGGAATCCACGGGGCGTGTAGAATTCGTATCATTAATCAGTTCAATATCGAGCAAGAATTAATGTATTATTTACTGCTCGAAGAGAAAATACATTTCTGGGGGAGGGGGCGAGTTCCCTGAGCCCGCCCCCGCCCGTAAATACGCTACTGGTTTGAGGCCTTTCGCGTGGTTAATATCTAGAGTTGACGATAGTGATAAAAAAATAATATCGATAGTTTCGATAATCATGGTGGTGAATATCGAAACTATCGATAATTTATCGATAGTTTGAAACAAACAAAAAATTATTGATATTGTTTTATTTTTTTTTATGGAAAGAAACATTATCGTATCAAACCTTGATATTAGAAACTACCTAAAACCAAAAAGAAACAAGAACTTAAATTGGTAACTTCAAATAAATAACCTATAGCTCTGTTCCGACCGACATGAGAACCGTTCTAAGAACGGTTATTTTCAGTCGATCAATTCATTTGTCAAGTAAGTCAAACGTTCAACTTATTGAAAAATAGGTGGGCAACTAGATATTACTGGTTCTGGAACGGTTCGTTCGAATGTCGATTGAAACAGAGCTATTGTATTCAAACTAAACTAATAAGTCGCCGCTCGAGAGTCTGTCGTTTGTCTCTGTCTAATTTCTATCATAGATTACACCGGGTGCAGTGATGCAGTCAATTCTGTGTACCGTGCATCCCAAACCCCGTTGACCTAACCTATTTTACATTCAAAATTGGAGCAGTGAACTCTATAAATACTTCCTATTCAATTTAAGTTAGTATTAGTTCATTGAATTCGATTATCCCGCGACTATCGATAGTTGCACTTTGAACTATCGATATTTTCGATTGTTCGAATTTTTTTGAATTATCGATACTATCGATAAACTATCGATAATATCGTCACCTCTATTAATTTCCGCGCGGCGGCGGGCCTCAAACACCCTAATTGAGCCCTTGATACCTACATAAATAACTACCAATTATTCGAGGTAAAATTACGTGTAAACGTTCCGAAAAATGAAATATGTAAGCCCTAAGCATTTGTACACACAACTTCAACAAGTTATAGGTACATGGGTATTCAATAATAAAAAAATAATTTGTAACATAAAAATATGTAGTTTTATTTATTTTTTATTTACAATCTCTATGTAATGAATTGTACAAGATTTCAAAATAAAAGATATGAGACAAAAATTAAGCTGTTTTCTTACAGTTAATGCGACCTCTAGGATAGGTTAGGACATTCCATTCTGTGGTTACTTATTTTGTTAACAAAAAATACAATACATAAGACAAAATGAAACTAAGTTATACATTTAATGGAAATTATTGGGAAAATTGGAAAACCCCAATTGATAGCAAGTATTTAGACCTACAGTATAGGTAAATAATTAGTTTGGTATGGAAGATAGATAACTTAATAAAAGTTAAAATAAAATAAGATTATGTTGAGGATGTTGAGGTTACCAATGGACAATACCAAAGCTTCACTTGCAGCCATGTCCTAATCCTGGTCACTTCTGGAGAATTTTTCAGACTTCCGGAAAAGCCTGCCTTCCAATATCATACAACGCTGCACGCCACGCTTTCATCCCTTCAACGAGATTTTCCAGATTGTCCATTATGGATACAACCTGGTTAAGAAGTACACGATATTCTTGAATTTCTTGGACGAATAACAAGTCAAAATCGGTTTCTCTTTCTCGTTCAATTTCCCTGGGTGGCTGCTCCTCTGGCGGTAGAGCAGCATTTTCCGATTCGTTCGCATCGTTTTGCTGGTGTTTTTCAATCATCTTCAATTACTTTTATTTTTACTGATAAGTTGTAAATTTTTTGTATTTACTATCAACAGAGCTGGGGGGCGAACGGGCAACGTAACCTGTTTGAATAGGAAATAATGGAATGGAAAATGGAAGTCAACAGCCAATCCAATTTGACAAATGACAAAGGCCAGGTCACGTGATAGAACCCTACCGTTTTCAGGCTTGGCAAACATCAAGGTTCATTAAATAAAAAGGTTGGGGACATTCAACATCAAAGCAAAATGTTGTTTTCCTCATTTTTAAAATTCGCCTCAGTTATAACCTGAATAAATGAATTTTCGCGACAAAGGTAGTTATGCTAAGGAGGACGAACCAAATATAACATTGACCTCAAAGGAGGCTGTGAGAGTATGTCCTACTCTACAGGATTGCTCAATCGACTAAATTTGTTCAAAAGTGCGCTGTGACGTCACGCGCATTCCGGACTTTCAAGATGGCCGCCGATACAGTATTTGTATTGTTTTTTTTATTAATCAAATAACTACTCAGTTGTAAGTTTTCTTTTCATGTAATTACTAGAAATTAGTGTTTGTGAAAAGTAAATAAATGGATAAAATATGTATATAAATTCCTTTACTGGCGCGTTTACTATGTAGACGCATGGAAAATATGGGAAACTTGCAGTGTTTTTCTGGATTCTGATTATGAAACTCTAAATTAGGTATCACTATTCGGCTTTGTGAGATAAGCTTACTTTTACCTATTAAACTATTGAATGATAATTTAGAAGTAGGTAGAAACAGTAAAAAATAAAACACTATTGCAACCACGTTTCGCTTATATTTTGATAATAAAATGCAAAAAATGTATCTGCATTGAATTTGTCCTTTCTTTTACAAAAAACTAGCCACTCGTTAATTTGAATAGTTTTGGATACAAGTTCTTTTCCTTTAGGAAAGCGATAAAATTTACATTTTTGAGTGCTTGCTTTTTGATCAAAATAGTTGTTATTACACCCATACACAGCACATCTCATTCCAGGCATATCTATTCTATAAATGTACCTTCTTCCTTCTTGTTGCCTTAAAAAAAAGGTAAAAGAAATGCATGCACATTTTAATATATATATATGTGGGTAATTTGAAATTACCTTGCTGGTAAGCAGAGAACAAACTCATCTTCGTAATTGCCGTTTTCAATTAAAAGAGATGGACAATGAAGTATGAAAACAATTATTTTCCCGCCAACATTTGCTTGCTTGTCAATGCCAGTGTGTATTGGGTGTTTTGAAAGAAATTGTGGGAAAAGTTACTACTTCATTTGCAGAACTTCGCTATGGAGAAAGCGGTGAATTATTTTGGAAGCAAACAGCTTGGACGTGGATTACTTTGTATACTTGATAGGCCGTGGATTCCCTTTTTTTTGCGAGTATTCTTTCTGATTTTATGTATCCAAAATTTGACAAATGTAGGATTTGATGGAAGCTTATGGAAAGACACGTCCGCCGGTAAATAGGAATTATTTTTACAAAAAGGCACACTACACAATCACCATTGTTAGGAAAAAACTTTGAAAAAACCGAGGAAATAATAGTTTCCAGTTTCCACATGTACAAAAGTTTTGTCAACAAACCACTGTCAGCGGCTGTCAAACGTTGTTTTCATACTCTTTTGGCATCTGACAGTTTGGCGCCAGAGAGAGAGGCTTTTAAATTGAAAAGGTCAATTAGCTAACTACTCGGGCACACAAACTTTTGAAGTCTGCTAAAGGATAACACACACCTAACATGGGATTTTTGGGCTCTATGGATTTTGACCATTTTTTGATATGTTGTAGAGGATTTAATTCTGAACAACCTTTAAATGAGACGAAATCTTGTAGGTATTACGGTCTTTGAGATATGAGCGTTGGAAGATGAACTTTTTTCGACTTTTTGTGTGGAGAGTATACGAGATACTGGTGCTACTGGTGTTTATCAGTCAAAATATTGACAGGTTCACATATTTCACGTCTCTCAAAAATTAATGTCAACTTAGGTTAAGGCCGGGACCGCACAGCGGTCAATGTTGGCGCCAGTGCGGTCCCGGCCTTAACTTATGTTGACATTTGTTAGTGACGTAAAATATGTCGACCTTTCAAAATTTTGACTGATAAACACCAGTTTTTCGTGTACTCTCCACACAAAAAGTTGCAAAAAAGTTTATCTTTCAACACTCATATCTCAAAGACCGTAACACCTACAAGATTTCGTCCCATTTAAAGATTGTTCAGAATTAAATCCTATACAACATATCAAAAAATGGGCAAAATCCATAGAGCCCAAAAATCCCATGTTAGGTGTGCGTTATCCTTTAAAAAACACAGTTTTCAAAGGAAATAACGTCAAAATATAGTATATTACAATCCGAGACGGAAAATACTTCATTGCTGGTCGAGAGGTTATTATAGTTTATCGAGACGCGAAGCGTCGAGATAAACTCAACCTCGAGACAGAAATGAAGTTTTCCGTCGAGGTTTGTATACTTTTTTATTTTCAACCCTTAATTTTCTGATGCAAAAACTAAAGATTCTGTTATACGAAATTTTCATATAGTGTAAAACTGGCCTTAGAAAAAAATATTTCACTTTTTTTGTCAATGTCATCAATTTTGACGATCTCAAAGGCCCTGTAAAGGCCAAAACAAAAGACGAAACCACAGGAAACCGCAAAATCAACAACCATAGATAAGATCAACAACGCCTTAACGACGGTAGTTTTCGCTCAGTATTTTTGCGGAAATAATAGATTTTCACTAGATTTCTCCCCGTTCTCCCCAAAGAAATGATTTCGGAAAGTGAAGATGAAGCGATGGATTGTACCCCACCTGAATTAAAAGAAGCAGCAGACAGGATTGGAGAGAGTTTGCTTCCAGCAAAAAGCAAATTTCGGTACGAAAAGGCTTTTCAAATATTCGAAGCATGGTGTAGCCAGAAAGGAACGAGAAATACTGCCTCGGAGACCGTTTTGTTGGCGTATTTTGGCGAATTATCTAAGGAAAAGAAGCCTTCGACTTTATGGTCGACTTACAGTATGTTGAAAACCATGATTAAATTGAAAGAGAAAGTTGATATCTCCAATTACGCAAAACTTATAGCTTTTTTGAAGCGGCAAAATCTGGGCTTTCAGCCGAAAAAGTCGAGCGTTTTTTCCAGAGAAAACATTAACGAGTTCCTCACGAAGGCAGCTGAAGAATTCATTAGCATCAAGGTAGGTTTTCAAAAAATATACAAAGAAGATAAAAATGCGAAAATCAAAATGATTTTCTGTATGCTATAGCTAGGTTACCCATTTTATTTTTATCTGGTTTCAGGTAGCGCTAATTGTTGGTGTGTCGGGTGCATGTAGGAGCGATGAACTAGTCAAGATGAAAATGGAGCACGTCAACGTTTTGGAAGGAAAGATCGCTATAGAAATTCCACACACAAAAACTTACACAAGTCGATCGTTTATCATAAGCGATCCAGATTGGGTTGCTATTTTCCACAAATACCTCACTTTGCGGAAAAATTTGAAAAATGACAGGTTATTTGTTCAATGGCGAAATGGGAAATTACATAACCAAGCAATTGGCTATCATTCAATCTCAAAATTTCCACATAAAATAGCTGCTTTTTTGAAGCTTCCAAAAATTGAAACTTTTACAGGGCATGCTTTTCGTCGTACTTCCGCAACCTTATTGGTTGACAACGGGGCCGATCTATTGCAACTCAAAAGACTGGGAGGGTGGAAATCGAGCACGGTTGCTGAAGGCTACATAGAGGCATCTTTGGAGAACAAAAGTAAGACTGCTCTGATGCTATCCTCTACTTCCAAAGGTATTCAGTTGTCCAGTGCATCCACAAGTACATCACATGCGGAAACTCATCCGCAAGCGCAAGAGATAATAGTTCCAAACGAAACACAATTCCAACAGGATGGTCTCAAGATTTCCATTATAAACAACAATGCTAATTTAACAATTAATGTAAATAAGTGAATAGATTTAATTAGTTCCATGTAATACATGTGGTTTTATTATTATATGTGAGAGCTGTATGAAAATTATCAATTTGGAACGAGCAGGGAAATGGGGACGGAAAAGCATTTGCCGTCCCGGACGGAAAATGCTTTTCCGTCCTAGGCAGGCATATGCATTACCGTCCCGATAAATGTCAAAGTCCAGAAATGTGACACTTTCAAGATTTTGAAAAACCTGCAATGTCAACATTACATATGTGGTTGAAAATAAACAATTTTTCACGTTTGAAAATGCACTGTCATAATAAAAAGCAAACCGATCAAGGGCTGCGTGACGTCACACGCATTCCTCCATGTTCGATATTTTTATGAATGCATGTCTTATAGGATTGAGCAATCCTGTAGAGTGTAGAGTTTACGATTCTTGTACTACTCCTTCTTAATTTTTTTAAATTAATAATAGACCCATCTATTTTTACCTGCATGAGCTCGCAACACGAGGCAATGCCTTTTTATTGGCCAACTAGTACAGGTGTAAAGGGGGTTTTACATGTTGCAAGAGTGGCTGCAAGTCGGTGCAAGTTGCAAGAACTCTTGCAAAAGGCATGCGCAGTTGAAACCCAGCTAATTGCAAGTTGCAAGACTTCTTGCAATTGCAACTTATCGGTTCTGTTCGATATTTCTGCAAGTGCAAGACTCTGCAAGAGTATTTTTTGGGGAAAATTTGGTAATTTTTGGTATGCCAACTTTCAATAAAAGTTATTACTTTTATTACGACCTAGGCAGCGTAGTGGATAGTGATCTGCTTCGCATGCCGATGGTCTCGGGTTCAAGTCCCGGCAAGGTGTATGGTTGTATTTGTGAATGTTCCTCCTCTACATGTAATTACTTAACGGTGTTTGTAGAGTGTATCCACAAAAAAAAAAAAAAAAAAAAAAAAAAAAAAAAATGTTTATATTTATAGATTTATAGATTAATAAGAATAGGCTAGGTACTTATGTCAGAACCGTGTTTGAATCAATTTAAAATACAG